AAAACATTTGGTATAGATGATTAAATGCATTCATTTAACCAATAATGCCATGATTGACAGCTTCCATAAAATAATCTATTACCTGTGCTCTGTCAGTCTCACTCACAGCATCTTTGTAGTTTACTCTGATTAAGAGGGTTTTTGCTGCCTATGTGAGTTGGTTAATTTATGCCCCATTATGAAACCAGGCAAAATGTTAGAACTATATCAGGCAGCTTTAGCAGATGCTACATCTGATTAAACTGTACTGCAGTTAAACAGATTCCTCTGTGGTGCTTCATTAGAAGGCCGGTTATAAAGAAATTGTTGATCCATGAAGAACTGTCTACACTGAGCTAAAATGTCTCTCTCTCTCTCTTTCTCCCTTTTTTTTTTACTGCCTGTCTTCTGCAATCAAGAAATGTCATCTGTGCAGATTTTTTCCCTTCCCCTCAGCGCTTAACTTAAAGCAACAAAGATATAAAATAAATGTTTACATCTATGAGATACGGATAATTTTGGATTGCAGTAATCAAAGTACTATACATGCACAGTCCCATAGAATTAAATGATACAATGACTAAATGAGTATCACTTGATGACTGAAATTTAACATAATTATCTGAATGTGTAAATGGAAGACTCAGATTTCACAATAAAAGTTGCTGTCTGGAATGCTAATGTTGCACAGTCTCTGTTTTGTCTTCTGTGTTTTGATCCCTCTGTCTCAACCATAAATTAGCATGCTCAATGCTCCCTGGACTCTTTAAAGAGAGTAAGATTTAGAATATTTGTGTGTGCAATGCATAATTTGGGGATTACATTACTTATCTACATATTGTACATGAATAGTACCATTTTTGGCTACCTCCAGATCACCAGTTGGGGAACTTAAATCCCTATCAACATATATGATATTTTGTTACATCCCTAAAATGAAAGTTTACAGCCACTTATTAGAGATTATTCACTAGCAGGTGTCCTTATATTTTTATCAAGAAATTCCAGTATAGTCTGCTTAAAAACTGAGTGGACATTGCATATAAACAACCATATACTTAGCAAGACCTGTGTCAGCTTTGAAATTCAGCTGCCACAGGGGGTTGGGGGAGTTGCTTTAGACATACCAGATCTGTTTCTAAATAAATCAATTGGAGAGAAAATGTCTCGGAGTGATTGATATCATGGATACTTTCTGGATGCCTTACAACCTGAATCATATAGTTATCCAGAAGCACACCAAAATAATATCATTGACATAAAAAATCTAAGGCTTCCCCACAGTGGTGGAATTCAAATAATTTAACAACCGATTCTCTGCCCTAATGATATCTTCCAACAACCAGTTTACCAAACTGGAAGAGGCCTGTAGGGGGCGTGCATAAGCGCACCAACGTGCCTACCGTCCCTGTCCTATTGTTTCTCTTATTCTTTTATTTTTCTTATATGTACCCATTTCATGTATTCACAACTATGTATACATTTATACTTATTATCTTGTAAACAATTGGCAAATCAAATAAATAAATAAATAAATAAATAAATAAATAAATAAATAAATAAA